TTCCATTTTATTTTAATAGATCAACACAATATTTACTCACAAAGTATAACTCAAGAGTAACGTAAAGCTTTGGGAATGAAAAATGGCTGGAAATAGCTTATAGCATCCTACCATTTATTATTATTCAGTTACAAGTTGCAACCAACCAGTCAAGAACTGTGACATGACAGATTAGCATATATATTTATGAATCTAATTACTAACAATCAAGATAATTCATCCTATCTGGATAAGCTTGAGTCATTAGTTTAATTGGTTGTTATATGGAAATAACATACCGTAGAATGTTAAGATTGACCAATAATTTAATATTTCAGAGTGCTGTGTAATAATCTGCTATATTAACCCATAAACAAACACTTGTTGTGTATTTGCTATTTAGTACTGTTCATTCATTTTCTGTTCTTATTAATCCAATTATAATATCCTGTAGGGTGTGAATTCAAAATCTAACTCAAAATTTCCAAGGAAGTAAATTCTTAAATTGTAAAGCCCTGGTTTTCTGACTTTCTTCTCACATACGTTATGTCTTCAGAAGCTGAGGGATCTAGACACTGTATCACAACAAGCTTTGCCAATTCATTATCTATATCGACTCCCCTAAGAGCATTTACTCAAAAGCATCTCAAAATGTTTCCGCCGATGCTGTAATGGTGTCAGTGCCGTTCCTCTTGTAGACTGTAAGCATTTTGCCGTACCTCATAATGAAAAAATGTTTCCCAGGGAAGAATTATTACACTGTTAGCCAAAGAAGGGAAAACAAGACAGGCGGAGACAGATACAAAGTGCTGATTAACAAACGTCTAGGAAAAAGTAATTGTTTACCTAGAAACACTAGCGAATTATACGACAACAATAATACAATTATAACCGTTTCAGGGTGCCAGACATATTCACAAGTCTCTGATGTAGTGTTTTAAGGTGGAGCCTCAGCTTTCTGCCAATCTCACAGCACACAGGCTGGGTCATGTGGTTCAGATAATGAAAAAAAGATAATCACTCACTGGACACTATTTAGTACAACTTCTCTATACCAGACCACCATTTGCCTTCAAAACTTTGTGAGATATATTGTGGCATAGATCCAAGATGTCCTGGAAACACTGGTCAGAGATTTTGGTCCATATTCTCGACAATTTGAAGAGATAGAGTCATAAAGTTGTTGCGGATCCATGATGTAAATCTTGCTTTACACCAAAATTCTGATTGCACCACTTCAAAGTTGCAGTAGATATTAAGACTCATCAGACCAGGAAACATTAATCCAGCCTTGTCCAATTTTGGTGAAGATCTGTGATTTGTGTTCTGAGTTGGATGTTTTTAGTTAACAGGAGATGCTTTTAAATAACTTCTGCTGCTGTAGCGCATCTGCTTCATGGTTGGTTGTGTTTTGTTTTCAGAGATGCTCTTCTGCAGTCCTTGGTTGTAAGGAGTGGCTAATTTAGTTACTGTTGCCTTTCTATCAGCTTGAACCAGTCTGGGCTGAGTTTTCCTAAAAGCATCGTAAGCCTAAGTAGATCGTAAAAAATGATTGTGCTATGATCTTAATGTTTCTTAAAAGCATCGTTATATAGTAAGTACTAGAAAATCGTTTTAGATCTACGAGCACTTCGTAGAAAACATTAAAGCCCTATTCTACTCATTATTTATTTACACTTTAAAAAAAACCTTTGCTGCTTGTTTAAACAGGTTATATAAAATGAGTTTAAACAACACAATTCTTAAGGTTTTTCTGAGGACAACTTAATTGTTTTATGTTCAGGCCATTTAATATTCTATAAACAATAAAGTTAACTTAATCGATTTGTGTTGGGACAAGAGGAAGCTGTTGAATAAAGTTGTTATTTTTGTTTTATGTGCATATTCTTGTAGCTTCATAATATTTCGATTAAACCAATAAAAGACAAATGGATGGATTTGACTGTTTTTTGGTACCGTTTTGACTTTGAACAAGCCAATTTCATCTAAATGATCTTAATTTGTGTTCTGAAGGTGAACGGTCTCAAGGGTTTGGAACAACATGGGGAAAAGTAATCGTTTACAAGATTTGATTGTTTTGTTTTTTTTATCTCCTTATAGAAAATAATTAGTTAAGTCACCTCCTGGACAATCATCAGATTACACATGTAACTTTATTCACGTGCAGTTTGATTATAGTTTTGACAGTTTTCTTTAATTGTACACTTTATTTCTCATTATTAAATTAATTTATAAATAATTGAAAAAAATGTATTTTTCTTTTACTTAATTTAATGACAATAAAAAAGAATTAGGAAATATGGTTAAAAGTCCAGGGGAAATAGGTAACAACCTCAAAATAGGTAATAACCTAAAAAAAAAAAGAAAAAAAAAGTATAAATGCGTTTCAGGAATGTGCATGAAAACCATCCATGTAATTGGGCAATATTTATGTATAATTTAATGTTCTGTAATCTTAACTTTTTTTTGCCATTTTGCCAGTAACTAGATCTGTAGGTAGGTGCTTTATAAAGACTTGTATTGATTGATAATCCACATGAGATGATGATTATTTGGGTTAAACACTCAAAAAATGACTTATGTTGCTTGTTCCAACTACTTATTATAATTATTAATTATTTAATTATTAATTATTTATGAATTAAATTCTATTTATTAACTTATTAAATATACGCTAATAATCATATAATATAATTATTTAATTGACTATAATAATTTAATTATAAATTAATTAAACAGCACAATTTTAAGGTTTTTTGGTGGACAACTTAATTGTTTTATGTTTAACCTACTTACATTTGTGTTTGGACAACATGAAGGAATTGTGTGGATCCCAACATTTCTTAAAGCGAACGTTTAGGTTATTACTCCATAAAAGTTCATATTTCAGCACTTTGGAAAAGGACAGCGACTACTAAGTAACAGAATGGATTCTCACACAATCATGTTACATGCATTTTTTGCGGCGTTACAACAAGCATTCGTAATCTTGCACAAGCATGTATTAAACTCTCTTAAAAATATTTCATTATCAAAAAAAACCTTGGTCCTTAGTTTCTGATCTCAGGCATAAACCAGGCACAGAACTGCCACTCAGTGGACATTTAGTCTGTAAATCCTAGAGATGGTTTTGCATTAAAATCACAGTTTCTGAACTACTCAGATCAGCCCATCTGGCACCAACAACCCTGTCACATTCGGTGTCACTTAAACAGCTTTTTATTTGCCCTAATCCGATGCTCTTTTTGAACTTCAGCAGATGGTCTTGACTAATATCTACATGCCTAAATGCATTACGTTCATGCCATTGGATTGGCTGATGAAATATAGTGGTCAAAGAGTGTATTAATAAACATTAATACTATAAAATCTCCATGTATGTGTGCGTCTAGGCTGGGGAAGCCAGAGTTCGAAGGTGCAGATCCACCATAACACCTGGCTGCATTTCCCAGGCCACAACATGCGCTGGATCCTCACCTTCACACTGCTGTTTGTACACGTGTGTGAGATCGCTGAGGGAATCGTCTCCAATACGTGGGTTTCATTTCAACATATGCCTGTGCAGTTTATTAATGTGTCTGTACTGTTTTATTTACCTCTTCGTGCATGAATCTTGCTTTGCAGGCAGATGGAGTCTAATCACTTGCACCTCTTCATGCCAGCATTTATGGGCTTTATAGCAGCCACCACATCGGTTGTGTATTACCACAATATTGAAACAGCCAATTTCCCCAAACTCCTGCTGGGTAAGTGTCTATTTCATCATGCAGGTAGGCACTTCATAATAAAATGTACTTGCAGTGTGGTTGTTTCATTATGTTACATTTACTCCTACTCTAATTTAAATAAAGCATAGTCGTTTTGCACGTTGCTCGGTAACGCAATGGTCCAACCATATTTTTAGACATTGTCAGTAGTATTTTTTGCCTAGTGGTTGAGTATGAATATTCAAACCTAATCAACCTAACCTCTTTCACAGCCTTATTTATTTACTGGATTCTGGCTTTCATCACAAAGATGATAAAGTTATGGAAGTTTGCCGAGGCGAGCTTGGGGGTACAACATCTCCGCTTCTGTATCACAGCGTTGCTTGTGGTGCTCTACGGCCTACTCATGGCTGTCGAGATCAACGTTATCAGAGTCAGGGTGAGTTTAGACATGTTTATTATTTATTTTAATTTTTTTCTATAAGCACTTAATTACACAATTATATACACAAATAAAATCTAAGCAAATTTCAGGCATTTTATTCAATTAATTTTTTTAATAATTATATTTATATTGTTAGTATTTATCTATTTTATTTTATTTAGTCCAGTGGATTTATTATTCTCAGCTTAAATGATTCAATAAAAACTAATCATGTACACAACTTTATGTATTGCACCAAATATGAATATTTTTCATATCAGGATTACACACACGTACACAAATCTTTTATTTTATTCAATATTTTATTTACTTTTTAACCATTCTTTATTTATTTTTTTTTATATTATATTTCATATTTTATTTAATATTTTTCTATTTTATTTTATGTTATATTTTAGTTGATATATTTTTAATTTTTCATATTTTATTTTATATTTCATTTCATATTTTTATGATTTATTTTATTTTATGATATATTTTAGTTTATTTTTTTTTCAGTTCTTTTCTCAAATTGCATATTTCAAATTTCTTTTTATATTTTTCTATTTTATTTTCTATTTTAGTTTATATTTTATTCAATTTTTTAATATTTTATTTAAGATTTAGTCTCATATTTCATTTTAGATTTTTAATATATTTCTATATTATGTTTTATTTTATATTTCAGATTTTGTTTCATATTTTTATATTTTATTTTGTAGTTTATTTTATTAAACATTTTATTTCATATTTTTTAATATATTTTTTATATTTAATTTAATTTAACATTTAATTTAATTATATGTTTTATTATAGTTTAGTTTTTAAATTCAGGCTTGTAATACATTCATGTTTATCCATCTGTAGATAATATTATTTTAGTTACTAACCTGTTGATAAACCTTGGACTTGCACAATTTTGGTCCATATTGGTTTGTGCTGGTTTCATGTTGGTCTAGCTGACATGGTGCCAAGCCGTTCACCATCAAAACCTTCTTTCTAGTTGACCAAGGAATCTGTTAAACATTGTACACTTCAGTAAACATATACTCAACATTTACAATACAACATTCCAATAATTAAGCATGCTGATAAAAATCCACATTGACTTTTATCTTTCATTTGCATCTTACCTGCAGAAGTATGTATTCTTTGCGAACCCCCAGAGGGTGAAGCCCCCAGAAGACTTGCAGGACTTGGGTGTCCGATTCCTCCAACCCTTCGTCAATCTTCTCTCCAAAGCAACATACTGGTGGATGAACCCACTCATTATTGGAGCCCACAAGAGACCTATTGAGTTGAAGAAAATCGGCAAACTACCTATCGCCATGAGGGCCTTAACCAACTATCTGCGTCTGAAGGACTCCTATGAGGAACAGAGGGTATGCATAGACAATTACAGGTTAAAGAGTAAAAAAAATAAATCGCATCTAAACAATATTTTTTATAGCTGACGACATATTGAAGTCTTGGTTGACCAGAGTTTCTTTGCTTGTCCAATTCTGACAGCAGAACACAGAGGATCCTGAGAAATCGCCATCCATCTGGAAATCCATGTATCGGGCATTCGGGGGTTCAATCCTCCTCAGCAGCACGTTTCGGTATATGGCGGACCTGTTAGGCTTTGCCGGGCCACTTTGCATTTCTGGGATTGTGGAACATCTGCACAACTCAACAGAGATTGACAGAACAAACAAGGTGTGTGTTTAACGTCTACCCCAACCCTAAACCCAGCCTTTACAGTAATGTAAAAACAGAACTGGATCTAGAGTCTGCTTTATTAGTATCGCTGATTAACCATGTGGATGAATGATAACGGTCTTCTGAGCCTGCTAGTAGGCACAGAAGCCCCCTACTGGCCCATATCTATCAGCTGATAACCACTTATAATGCCCATTGAATCAAGTGATAACATTTAAAGTGGGTGTTATAATACAGCGGGAACTGTTTTGTGTATATTGCCAGCTTTGATTGTCTAAGACTACGGTTACCTATGGGGTCAGTTTACATTGTACAAAGACTGCAAAAATAGGTTTTTACTTTTCTGTTTGTGAAACAGCTAACATTACAGTGAATATAATGTTGTGTGAATTAATTATCAATGTAAATAATCAGTTTAAAACAGTTTAAGGTATCTTTTAAGATGTATTGTTATAATCAAAATTAGTTAATATAGTTAAGTAATAGCATGCACTAACCTAAAACTAATTAAGGTTAAGAAAACAATGAATTAAGAAATGTATTACTCATTGTTAGATCATTTACAAATATTAACTAAGGGACTTTTGTGTGAAGTGTTAACAAAAAGATTCAGAAATGCTTCTAAAGAAAAACGGGTTTGATGTAATAATATTTATTTATTCTCTCTACAAAAAAAATACCAAAAAATAAATAAAAAATACAAATTGAGAAACTTTTTTGTCAAGTTTTTAAAAGAATCAATCCCAAACACACGAGAAAGATGGTAATCGATGGAGAAAAATTTAAATAGATAAACATACTGAGCAAGAAACTGAGAAACATTAACTATTTTTCTAATATTGAATAATTGGTAACACTTTAAAGTATGGTTAAACAATGAACAATACATTTATTAATTATTTGTTCATGTTAGTAAATAAAAAAGTAGTCCACGATTTTTGGTTATAATATTAAGGTAAGGTAAGGTAAGGTAAGGTAAGGTGAGGTAAGGTAAACCTCTATTTTCCCAGTTAGGGAAATCTGTATTGGGCTCTTGCCCTCAGCTGCAGTCATCACATACATAGAAAAACAATACAAACATACAGTACTAAAGCAGATACATATAAAAATAAATACATCTACACTTCCACCCCAAAACACCTCTTATATTATATATATATAAATCATAATAATATTGCATTAGTAAATGTTGGATTATAAATGCTGTACAAATATTGTTTGTTATTAGTTCATGTTAATAAATACATTAACTAACATTAACTAATGAAAAGTATGAACAAATAATTAAAGCAGACCCAATTAAAACCATGTAAGCTGCTGCACAAATCGGAAAATGATTATGAATAGACAAAAATACTTGAAAAGTAACATATTATTGGATTTTTAGATTATTCGATTTAACACAGACAATAATGAAGCCACGTATGCTGTTAAAAAACAAGTGTCAAACACAAACACATAGCAGAAAGATGGTAAAACAAGAAAAAGAGTTAAAACTGCAACTGAAGTCATGGAAATAAACCACAACCCAGTCACGCTCTCACAGCACTATGATATTATCTCATTTACTTTGGAGCCCATTTGTAACGTACCACGTTAAATCATTTAGGCTGTTGTTTAAATAACTGTCAGTTTTTCTTTTTGTTTGATTTGCTGCAGATATTGGTCTGGTGGTTATGTTACTAATTAGACCCGTATTTATTTTTCCTGAGAGCAACGCGACAGTATTGGAGAGAATGATCTATGGTCTGATATCTTCTGTTTTGCCTTGTTATTTATCGCTTCCTGCGTGATGTCACAGAGGCGTCAGTGCTATTAATGAGAGCACTGTATGTCATCGCCTCGATATGACAGCAGTTATTAGATTTCACACAACATGCTTTTCCTTTGCTCGGACGGCCATGATGTCATGTGCGTTCGGATAAATACTCTCCCGAGGTTTAGATAAAGATGAATTCAGTGCTGAAAAATTCAGGATGTAATAAAAACTCAGCTGATTGAATAAATGAAATCACCGCATTTGTTTCGTCTTGGTGTGAGCACACGTCTGCAACCAAAATATCCCCCCAAACAACAAAATTATGGTTAAAGAAGAATTTTTGAAATAAATTGATGTTTTTATTGGTGCTAGGCAAAGATTAATCACGATCCAAAATAAAAGTTTTTTTTTAACATAATATATAAGTATTATATTTATTTATTATGTATATGTGATACACATGCATATATAAAAAACAATTTTGTTACATTGATATTTAAATTTATATATAATTTGTATCATATATGAACAATATCACACGAGTAGCAGTGCGATATGGCTGTATATCAGTCTGCTATATCCAACATACAGCCATATCGCACTGCTACTCATGTGATATTGCATTTATACAACAGTTCAACTGCATAATCGTGTGTATAAAAAGTAAAATCAAATACAATGAGTCTCAAACCATTTTGTACAAGGAACTACTTTCTTCCGCCGCTTATTCACATCTGCAGCTGATGTCAGAACAGCAGGAACCGTAGCTACTTCACAAACGTCACTTTAGTGTTAGTATTTGAATGACTCTCTAGAGTAATGTCTAAAGTGATGATAAAACAGGTAATGTTTGCTTACATTTTAAGATTATAAGGCTGAACGACATGAAATGCCATCAGTCAACTGAGATTTGTCAGTACTTCTCTGTTGCAATCGGGAGATCACAATAATAACCCTGAAAAAGCCAGAGCAAAGCAAACACTATCAGTTTCTGTGGTGTAAATACAAAAAAGACAAAAGAGTGAGATCGACTTAGAGTGTCACTTACCTGTTTTATAATAATTTGTTCAGCTGTATTTTGAAACTTAAGCTGAGAAAATGCAGTTTTTCTTCCCCGAAGAACTTGTTAAGAGGTCTTTGTCGCGGTGGAACGTCAACTGTCACTTTCTTTGCGCTGCTTAGACAGGCTGATGGCAGCCAATGCACTGGATCCGATGCTCTGTAATTATAAATATTAAAAATAGGCACTGTCCTCAAAAATAAAATGCATAGTTGCAATCGAAACAACTACATTCACGACTAAAAAAACCTCAAAAGTGCATTATGTTGTCCTATAGCTGCAATAATTGTCAAACTATTGAGTGTCCTCTGCTTGTCGCTGTATGTGGGCGAAGTAATACACAAGGTTGAAGGGTAAAGAGGCTGTATGAGTGCTGTTATTTGCAGAATATTGCACGGCTATCAGCCAATCAGATTCAAGAACCAAACAGAACTGTTGTCTAAGCATATATATCTTATATCAAATTCTCAAATATATGCATGCATGTGTGTATTTATATATAGACAATACATATACACAGTACAGTAACATTACACAGTAATCTTTGCCCAGCACTAGTTTTTAGTAATTAGAGTACAATAAAGTGACACTATAAATGTATTACAGTTTAAAAAATATTAAACAGGATAATCATTTTCTGCGTATTAATTTTATTTATTCAGGACTGTCTGACACTGAAGGAATAAATTACAAATGGTAATTACAAAATAGAAAATCGTAATATTATTGTATTAAGAAATATTAAATTTCATAGTAATGGTAGTGGATGAGGAAATCCCCCCCAAAAAAATGTGTAAAGTGCTTTAAGTGTCCAGAAAAGCATTATATAAATGTAAGGAATTAAATAATGGAGCAGGGCTGCACCCGGTCAGTACCTCAATAGGAGACCACATGAGAGAGCCAGGTTGCTGCCGGAAGGGGTGTTAGTGAGACCAGAAGGGCGTGCTCAACTTGTGATCTGTGTGGGTCCTAACGCCACAGTATAGTGAAGGAGACTCTATACTGCTCAGTGAGTGCCGTCTTTTGGATAAGATGTTAAACCAAGGCCTTGACTCTCTGTGGTGGTTAAAAATCCCGGGTACAACTCTGGCATCCTGGCCAAATTTGCCCACTGGCCTCTGTCCATAATGGCCTCCTAACCATCCCTATATCATAATTGGCTTCATCACTCTCCTGTCCACCAATCAGCTGGTGTGTGGTGTGCGGTTTGGCGCAAGATGGCTGCCGTCCCGTCATGCGAGTAGATGTTGCACACTGGTGGTGGATGAGGAGATTCCTCCAAAATATTTGTATAGCACTTTAAGTGTTCAGAAAATTGCTATATAAATGTAAGAAATTATTATTATTATTATTATTATTATTAGAAATGCTGTTTCATATCATGGTATAAATAATAAAACATTATTGTACGTGTCATTTAAATAGTCTGTGCCTTTTAAAATGATATAATTATAAAATAATAAAATGATTGTATAATAAAATTGTATGATTACACATGTATAAACACACTAATTAAAATAAACAAAATAAAATCATAAAAACTCATTTAAAAACTTTATTTTTTTCTTACAAATACTATTGGCATGTTTTGTGAAATTCCTGCATTTGTGTTTGGCTTTAATATATCCAATTACTTTTTATGCTCCCTGTTACACAATGTGTGTGTGTGACAAAATAAAGGCAGGCATACATATCTGTTTGACGTGGAAAATTTGCCTTTCACATCACACTCTTTCTCAA